TACTCTTCTAGACATTGGCCTAGGCAAAGAATTTATGAAGAAGACCCCAAAGGCAATCACAGCAGCAACAAAAATAAACAAATGGGACCTGATCAAATTAAAAAGCTTCTGCACCGCCAAAGAAACTGTCAAGAGAGCAAACAGCCAACCCACAGAATGGGAGAAAATTTTCGCAAACTACACATCTGATAAAGGGCTAATAACTAGAATCTATTTAGAACTCAGGAAAATCAGCCAGAATAAATCAAACAACCCCACCAAAAAATGGACAAAGTACATGAACAGAAACTTCTCAAAAGAAGACAGAATAATGGCTAACAAACATATGAAAAAATGCTCAACATCTTTAATCATCAGGGAAATGCAAATCAAAACCACAATGAGATATCACTTAACTCCAGTGAGAATGGCCTTTATTAAAAAGTCCCCAAACAATAAATGCTGGCATGGATGTGGAGAGATAGGAACACTTCTACACTGCTAGTGGGACTGTAAAGTAGTTCAACCTCTGTGGAAAGCAATATGGGGATACCTCAAAATGATACAAGTGGATCTACCATTTGATCCAGCAATTCCACTGCTGGGCATCTATCCAAAAGTTCAAATGACACTCTACAAAAAAGACTTCTGTACTGGAATGTTTATAGCAGCACAATTCACAATTGCAAAGTTGTGGAAACAACCCAAGTACCCATCAATTCATGAGTGGATTAATAAAATGTGGTATATGTATACCATGGAGTACTACTCAGCTTTAAGAAACAATGGTGATATAGCACCTCTTGTATATTCCTGGATAGAGCTGGAACCCATTCTACTAAGTGAAGTATCTCAAGAGTGGAAAAACAAGCACCACATGTACTCACCAGCAAATTGGTATTAATGGATCAACAGCTAAGTGGACATATAGGAATAACATTTATCGGGTGTTGGGCAGGTGGGAGGGGGGAGGAGGGGATGGGTATATACAAACACAACGAGTAAGATGTACAACGTTTGGGGGATGGACATGCTTGAAGCTCTTACTCAACGGGGGAGGGGGGCATGGGCAATATACGTAACCTTAACACTTCTACCCCCATAATACACTAAAATAAAAACAAAATAAAATAACTCTAATGAAGTATTATTTTCTTCGTATTATGAGCTGAGGAAATTGAGGATCATTTAAATTATGTGTCCTTTCTTTCCTATCTTGATTTCACCCCCAACCTCCTCTTTTTGAAGTCTTCTTCATCTTTATTATGGCAATGCCATCCTCCCAGGTGCTTAGGCCAAAAACCTGAGAGTCATCCTTGTCTCCTTTCTTTCATACTCCCACACCCAATCTGAGGAAACCCCGTCAGCTCCTTGTCATCACTATCTCTCTGGTCCAAGGTCATTATCTTCTTGCTCCTAGAATATTTCAGTAGCCTCCTGACTTGTCTCCGTGCTTCCATCCTTACTCCCTACTATCTATTCTCAACCCAGCAGTCAACGTGATCCTATTACAATATGTCAGAAGATGTCACTTTTCTACAGAAAACTTTCCAGTGGCTCCCACCAACTCAGGATAAAAGCTTCACCTGATCTGCGTCACTTCCACCTCTTCTCTGATTCAATCTTCTCCATTCTTAAAAGCTGTTCTTTTGATTATTCCTAAGGCAGTCCTGCCTCAGGGCCTTTGCATTTGCTATGTTTTCTGCACAGATATGCAAAACCTTCCTCAGGTCTTTCCTCAAATGTCACCTCCTCGAAAGGCTTTTCATGATCACCCCACTTAAAAGAGCACCCCTGGTACTTAAGTACCCTCTTTGCTTAATTTTTCTCTGTAGCATTTTTAATTATATGGCAGTGCACGTATTTTCCTCATTTACTTATCATCTGTCTCTCCCACCTGGAAGGTAAACTCCATGAGGGCTGGAATTTTTACGTTTATGTTCTCTGCTATGTTCCCAACTCCTAGAAGAGTGCCTAGGATTCAAAAAAGCACTCGATAAATATTTGTTGAATAAATGAATGATTCCATCACATTCCAGCTGTTAAAGCAGGCCAAGATTGTCTGCTGTGCAGAATGTCTCAGCTTCTACTCTGACCTCTATCTTCTTTGCTCTTCCCCATCTGTTTACTTAGGAGCCACTTTTTTATTTTTAATTTTAAATTATTATGGGTGCATGGTACTTGTATATATTCATACGGTACATGTGATGTTTTGATACATGCATACAGTGTGAATTAATCAAATCAGGATAACTGGGGTATTCATCACCTCAGGTATTCATTATTTCTTTGTGTTAGGAACATTCCAATTCCACTCTTTTAGTTATTTTACAGTATACCCTAACTTATTGTTGATTATAGTCACCTTGTTGTGCTATCAAATATTGTTCATTCTATTTAACTATATTTTTGTACCCATTAACTATTCCTACTTTATCCCCCCTCCCTACTACTCTTTTCAGCCTCTGGTAACCATCATTCTATTCTCTGTCTCCACAGATCAATTGTTTTTAATATTTAGCTCCCACATATGAGGTGAGAACATTTGAGATTTGCCTTTCTGTGATTAGCTTATTTCACTTAATATAATGTTCTCTAGTTCCATGCATGTTGTTGCAAATGGCAGGATTTCATTCTTTTTTATGGCTATATAATATTCCATTGTATATATGTACCAGAGTTTCTTTATCTGCTCATCTGTTGATGGACACTTAGGTTGATTCCAAATCTTGGATATTGTGAATAATGCTGCAATAAACATGGGAGTACAGATATCTTTTTGATATGCTGAATTCCCTTCTTTTGGGTATATACCTAGCAATGGTATTGCTGGGTCATATGGTAGTTCTATTTTTAGTGTTTTGAGGAAATTTCTCCATAGTGGTCCCATTAATTTACATTCCCACTAACAGTGTATGAGGGTTTCCCTTCCTCCACATCCTCACCAGTATTTGTTATTGCCTGACTTTTTGCTAAAAGCAATTTCAATTGGGGTGAGATGATATCTCATTGTAGTTTTTGTTTGCACTTTTCTGATGACTAATGACATGAAGCATTTTTTCATATACCTGTTGGCCATCTGTATGTCTTCTTTTGAGAAATGTCCATTTGGATCCTTTGCCCATTTTTTAATTGGATGATTTGATTTTTTTCCTATTGAATTCATAGAGCTCCTTATATAGTCTAGTTATTAATCCCTTGTCAGATGGGTAGTGTGCAAATATTTTCTCCCACTCTGTGGGTTGTCTCTTCACTTTGTTGATTGTTTCCTTTGCTGTGCAGAAGCTTTTTACCTTGATGTGGTCCCATGTGTTCAATTTTGCTTTGGTTGCCTGTGCTTTGGCGGTCTTACTCAAGAAGTCCTTGTCCAGACCAATGTCCTGAAGCTTTCCCCAATGTTTTCTTTTAGTAGTTACATAGTTTCAGGTCTTTGATTTAAGTCTTTAATCCATTTTAATTTGATTTTTGTATAGGAGCCACTTCTTGATCATACTTGTCACAGGTGAAAGGCTGGTGAATACAGAGAGACACTCCCAGCAAGTGCAACCTGTATTCTTGCTGTCATCCACAAGCACACTAGTGGTGGTAGACAGCTATGGAACCAAGTGTGAAGTTGGCATCCTCCAACTACCATGATTGCAAGAGAGAACTTGAACTAGATATACCTGTTTTTGGTTGTCTCCTGATGTCACTCACTGCAAATGAATAGAGGAAAATACTTCCTCCCAAAGAGAACTTGGTGAGGCTCCAGTAGGATGCTGCTGCAGTGGAAAACCCCCATATCCGCCTTTGCAAATGGGTGTGGCCCCACCCACTCATACTGTGGCTCACCTCAAGTTTCAGGCACACCAAACACAGGGTCATGAAAATGCAGAGGGAGTCTCTAACCAAGAGTTTCGGATTCCTCCTGGGGGATTATCCAGAAAGCAGAGCCTTGACTTTGCAGCCCAAGCATGTAAGGGGCGTGGGAGACAGATAGTTGGGGAGGCTAAACGGAGCTGCCCAGCTTGGCAGTGTGCACAGCCTGCAGTCTCAGATGGAAAGGCCTGGAGCCAGGCAGGCCAGGCCACCCTGGGTCGTGAAGGCGGGGCTCTGCCCAGGATGTCCAGGCACTGGGCTTTGTCAAAAGTCACCACCAACCAGGGTGGTAGGCAAATGGATCTTGCACACCTGCTCTCCCATCCTGCGGAATCCCGAGTTGAGGAAGTTCCATCTTTATTGTGGAACTGCACAAATGAAAGAGCCCTCGCTTTTTTTAGGGGGGGGTACTGTCAGTGAACGTGTGACGCACACGCATAGTCCCCAACCCCAAACCTACAAACAACTCTGGTAACACCGAGATTAACCTTAAAAAGCAAAACAGAACAAAACAGCACCCCCCCCCATCCTAACACATTAACGTCTGAGACCAAATTTCCCCCTGCCCACTTCAGGCAGTTTGCCAGATCAATAACAGTCTTCATTACTTGACTCAGCTCTATTAGGACTGTATTAGCGTTTTAAAATTCAAGCCTTGGACAAAAAAAAAGAAAAACAAAAAAGGGGGGGGGGGGAGAGGAAATGGAGGGGGGCAAGGGCGCCAGTGGCCGCTGTCAAACCTTCGGGAGGTGAGAAATCTGAAACGTCCGCGACGTGAGGCGTTGTCTGCCTTGCTCCACTTGGCAGAACCACAGACGTGAGCCTTTCGGCGGGACCGGCGTAAACGTCTGTGTTTTCTGTGTGGCGGTGTGTGCGCGCCAGTGAAGAGGTGTAGGTCTGGCAGAACGCGAGCCCCCTAGGGCGAGGCGTCCTCCGTCGCGCCCCGCTCAAGTTTCAGAGGAAACTTTCCCTCAGAAGCTCCTCCTCCTTCACCCTGGAAACCGGCGCGGGGAGGGCCTCACGGCGCCGCCCGGGCTCCCGGCGCACCTGGTGGCAGCGCGCCCCAGGCGGCGGGGGCGGGGCCGCGGCGGGCTCCCTCGGGCCGCCCTGCAGGTTGGGCCCCGCCCCGGCTCCGGCCCCGCCCGCGCTCCCGAGGGCGCGTGGGGGGGAGGGGGCGAGCCCGGGACTCGCGCGGCTCAGCCACCGGCTGACGCACCGTCGGAAAGTTGCGCTCCGACCTTCTCGCGTCCTACTTTCTTCCCCGGTACTCCTGCGGAGTTTGAGGCGGGCCGGGAGCACCCCGCCGAGACCTGCGAGTGGCAGGCCGGGTCGCGGGGGGAGTGTCCCGGACGGGGCGACGACCCGGCTCCGCTTTCGTCGCGGTGCCCGGCGCGGGTGGCAGCTCAGGGGCCCGCGTCCCCAACTTTCTGGACTATCCTGAGGACACTTGTCCAGCAAGTTCCGCACTACGCGGGGAGGAGGAGCCCGGGCCCGCGACAGGTACGAGGCGTGCTGACCTGATATTGGCGCTTGAGGAAGTTTTTTATTTTAGGGGGTTGAAGGAGGAGGGAGGGTCGCAGTGTCTCTTCCCAGCATCCCCCAGCTGGGCAGGAGAGGCAGGTTTTGGGGCCGGGACCGGCTGGGAACACCTCGAACGAAATCGCTGCGGGGGGGGGGCGGGGTGGCTCCCAGGGCTGTGGGCTCCTGGGCTAGGTGTAACTCAGTGACTGACCCTGGGGGAGAGAGAGCCAGCTTGTTTTGACGAAGGAAGATGTCACTAGGGCTCTCCACCCGTTTGGTCTCCGGGTCCTACGGGAGGAACAGGCAAAGGCGAAGAGATCTGGAGTTTTCCTCTCCAAACCTCCTTGCTTACACCAGAGACCGAGGCGGTGCCACTCTGAGGTTTGCAGCACTTTCCTGGTGTAAGGTCTTGTCGGGCGGCTTGTTGCTCAATTTCATAAATTCTCTGGTGAAACTGCGTTCAGGTCTTGATTGTTATTGAGAGAATGTGTGTATGCGCTTGTGTTTGTGTTTTCCCTGGGCTCAACAAAGGTCCCTTGTTAGCTCCACTTCTGCTGCCTTATTTCAAGCTCGGCTAGAGCGAGGTGTTGGTGGTGGCGGGGGCAGCCGTGTTTTCTTGGGACTTTGGGAATCACGTGAGCAGATGTAGTGAATTAGCCCAGTTCTGTTCCAGCCTCCGGGACCCATCCATTCATAAGAGATCCAGCTTCCACTATTTAGTAGGTGCTAAAGCCCTAGCCATCCAAGGACAGGGAAAAATCCTTGGAGGGAAAGAGCCAAAAATTGAAAAGGAGAGACAACTCCTCAGGAGGAGGAGGAGTAAACAGTGCCTATCAATTTTTGCTTCCCTGTAGATTGGGCTGGCTCCCTTTGCTTCTCTGGAAGGACTCTGCTATCAAATTCATATCATTATGAAGTCAGCTGCTCCCTACTAATAACCATAGCAGTCCTGATGAAATTATATAGGTCATTGAAAAATAATTCCTGCTTAATCACCTTTATCCTGTTATTAATGAGAAAAAGATTTCCTCTCCTTAATGTACCATGCCTGCTTGCCAGGGTCACCTGCCTGACGTCAAGTTCACTTGTACACCTGTCACTAGACAAGAAGCTGTCCCTGAAGCTGCCCAAACCTAGTGAACCACAGCTGAAATCCACGTTTGGAGAACTTCAGTCGTCTTTGGGCAGAAATTGAGCAGGAAATTCAGCCCATAAATTTACTCTTTGATATAGCATACTTGTTGGCTTTAGATAACTTTTCAGATAATTAAAGGCATCTCCTTTTTGGCTACAGTTAATCCATTTCCACAGAGCTCATAAGAATTATGTTCATGCCTATCTTGAAATAAATTATGTCAGGGTCCCATTTGTGGTTTGTCCTATAGCTTTAGGAACAGGATTAAACTGTGCGGTATGGATGGAAAGGAGAAGAGAAAGTGGGCATCACTGAAATAGATTCAGAGAGTGATTTAGAGTGGTCTAAAAATTTAGGCCCAACTGCCCAGCTAGTTGCCTTCTTTCTTCTAACGTTGAGGCTTTTAATGTAGGACTTTGAAGACTAGAAATGAAATGAGTGTTTTATTTTTACAGAGTCCGAGTAGTGCATTGCTGGAAAGTTCTGTATCTCCTAAGTTTGGTTCAAAACACTTGCTCTGCAAAGTTCTTTCTATAGAAGAAACTCAATGGATAATGACTACAAATTAAGAAGCAGATATACAAACATTATGTAGAAATATGGAGGCAAATATTAGAAGAAACAAAGGAATGTCCCTGAGGAGTAAAATTATATTCTCGTATTACTTTTAAAAAGAAAATTTGATAAGGAACGTCCCTTCTCCATGCAAATATAAAACAAAATTGCTTTCTCTGATCTCTGCTTAGATACTTGATCCTTGTATACATTTTCTCATAGAGCAATACATAGGCCGATTGAAGATCTGGGCTCTGAGGTTCTGGCTTTGAAACACAATTTGCATCTACTTCACTCTTAATTTTAGAAACTTCCAACTCTTAGGTTTTAGCTCAGGTAGGGGAATAGTGCTCAAGAGTCATCAAAAATTCCAGGGATTTCTTTTGTAGGGATCTCTTAGTAAAGATAATTACAGACGTGCACCTTCCTATAGTGCCTTATGATTAACAAAGTGCTTTCACATGTACCTTATTTGTGATTTTACCATTTTGCAAAGGGTGCTATTGTACTTAGGCTACACAGGAGGAAAATAGATGAGGTTCAGAGGCAATAAGAGACTTTTATTTGTCTGCATTGCTTCTTTATGTTGTGGACTTAGACCTGAATTTAGGATTTCTGATTTACAGGCTATGCCTTTAATTGTTTCCCTGTTGTATTTTGTGAAGTAGTTGGATGTGAAATGAGATCTTATTTCTTATTAACCAAAATGTGAGCTTCTGTGGAGACAGGATAACAGGACTATACAAAAATATGTACATATATACATATATATAAAATATATGTACATATATAAAATCTTCATATCTTTAGTATCTCCAGAATGTAGCTGTCCAATGACATTGAACTAACTTCCATTACATTTGGGAGGGAAATCCTAGGGGTTGGGGTAGATGAATAAATGTCCCAGTAGATTGAATAGGGAACTTTTAGTAATGTCCAAAATTGAAAAAAAAATGTAAATAGCAGTATAAGTGTGTGATTTACAAATATGGAAATAATTACCAAAAGAAATAATAGCTAGAAGAGTTGAAGGACTTTTTTGGGGGGAATGGAACTCAGGGGTGAGGAGGAGCTGGGCAGAAATCTGCAGTTTTTGGCTATGTACGTTATAATATTAGATAACATTTTATACTGTGTGCAGTGTATTTTTTTTTTAAAATCCCCTTTGACAATGATAGAGTAAGGTCTGTTGTTAGAATTTTAGAGCCAAAAGGACCACAAAGATTGTTTATTTCTAGTTCTTTCATTTTACAGGTGAGGAAATTGAGGTATTGGAGTTCAGATGTTTTACCGAAGGACACATACTGGTAGCTGTAGAGACAAACCTCTCCGAGTACAAGTTCACACCCTTTGCCAGGCAGGTGGAAATTTCCCCGATGCTAGTGATTCCTCAATTACCTTTCTAGACAATTCTTTCTCTTCCTTCTATCTAGTTTTTACAGTGTTTGAATAGGTTACAGCAGTGGTCCTCAATCTTTTTGGCACCAAGGGCCGGTTTCATGGAAGATAATTTTTCCACAGACCGGCTGGCAGTAGGTGGGGGGGGGGAGGTGGGGAGGATGGTTTCAGGATGCTTTGAGCATGTTACATTGATTGTGCTGTCAAACCTGTTTGCTAATGATAACTGTATTTGCAGTTGCTCCCCAGCACTAGATCACAGCCCCAGCTTCAAATCATCAGCTTTAGATTCTCCAGTGGAGCCCGCAACCTAGATACCGGGCATGCGCAGTTTACAGTAGAGTTGTGCTCCTTTAGAATGTATGCCGCTGCTGATCTGACACGAGGTGGAGCTTATGCAGCCTTGTGAGTGAGGGGGAGAGGCTATGAATACAGAGGAAGCTTACTTGCTGCTTGCTTTCCTGCCACTGCTCACCTCCTGCTGTGTGGCCCAGTTCCTAACCAGCCACTACCTGTACCAGCCCAGGTGTTTGGGAACCACAGGGTTATAGGACTATGGATTCAAAAGTAGTTATCTCTAATTCCTCATATTTCCTCTTTGAAAATGCTTTAAATAGCTTTAGAGTCTGCAAAGCTGTCCTTTATTTGTTGTTAATTCTGTAATTACTTTACTTAAAATTAGAGATGCTCAGTTTGCAACTATTTAGAATTGGCCATGTTGCTCAGTTGAATTTGGTAAAATGGAATTTGGGCTAAACTTTTTTTTTTTTTTTTTTTGAGACAGAGTCTCGCTTTGTTGCCCAGGCTGAGTGAGTGCCGTGGCGTCCAGCCATGCTCACAGCAACCTCAAACTCCTGGGCTCGAGTGATCCTTCTGCCTCAGCCTCCGGGTACTGGATAACAGGCATCGCGCCACCATGCCCGGCCTAATTTTTTTTTTTATATAATATCACTTTGGCCAATTAATTTCTTTCTATTTATAGTAGAGACGGGGTCTCGCTCTTGCTCAGGCTGGTTTTGAACTCCTGACCTTGAGCAATCCGCCCGCCTCGGCCTCCCAAGAGCTAGGATTACAGGCGTGAGCCACAGCGCCCGGCCTGGGCTAAACTTTTAACCTTAGAAAATATTACTAAGGGGAGATGTTAAAGGGGCTTTTCCGGAATCTGTGTGTTGCTTAATTTCTAAGTGAGGATACTACTATTTTCTAAAAGAGAGGTAGAGACATATGATATTTTAGAGCTATTAAAAAACGTTAACAAATTTTCCATTTTCTTTTTATTTTTTCTTTTTTTGAGACAGGTCTCAACCTGTTGCCTGGGCTAGAGTGTAGTAGTGTAATCATAGATCGTTGCAACCTCAAACTCTTGGGCTCAAGTGATCCTTCTGGCTCAGCCTCTCAAGTAGCTGGGACTACAGGTGTGTGCCACCACACCTGGCTAATGTTCTGTTTTTTTGTAGAGACAGTATCTCACTATGTTGCTCAGGCTGGTTTTGCACTCCTGGGCTCAAGTGATCCTCCCAACTCAGCCTCCTGAAGTGCTGGGTTTATAGGCATAAGCCACTGCACCTGGCCCTTTTTCTTTATAAATAAGATTTTCTCTTACTTCCCTTCCATTTGTATCACTGACTTAAAATGAAAATTTTTTCTGATTATATACATAATGTATATTGTTCAAAATCCAAACATTATAGAAATAGGTATTTTTTTCACCCCAGATTTTTTCTCTCTATAAAAATAAATTATTAATGAGGTTGTTAATAACGAATGGCGTAATACTGTGCAACTTTCAACTTGGGTTTTCTTTTTGTTTTTTAAAATTTTTTTTAAATTTAATTTTTTTGAGGAGGGGGGTTCAATACAATATCCTTTTTTTTTCTTGTGAGACAGAGTC